TGGGTTGATCGTGGGTGGGGTCCTGTGGGGGTATCCGTGGGTTGATGGTGGGTGGGGTCCTGGGGTCCTATGGGGGTATCCATAAGGTGATGGTGGGCGGGGTCCTGTGAGGGTATCCATGGGTTGATGGTGGGTGGGGTCCTGTGGGGGTATCCATGGGGTCCTGTGGGAGTATCTGTGGGGTGGTAAGTGGATGGAGTCCTGTGGGGATATCTGTGGGGTCTTGTGCGATATCCATGGGATGGTAGTGGGCAAGGTCCTGTGGTGGTATCTGTGGGGTGATGGTGGGTGGGGTCCTGTGGGGGTATCCATGGGGTGGTAATGGGTGGAGTCCTGTGATGATATCTGTGGGGTCCTGTGGGGGTAACCTTGGGGTGGTAGTGGGCGGAGTCCTGTGGGGGTATCTGTGGGGCAGTAGTGGGTGGGCTTCCATCCTCGACTCTGGAGCCAGGGTCGGAGTGCAGTTCTGGTTGCATGTGCAGGGCCTCAGTTTCCTCACCTGTGAAATGGACGGGTTGGGATAGTTGACCTCACCTTGATTGTCCTTAAAGTGGAACCTCATCTGTTATACATCATCCCTCTCCCCAGCACTGGGAGCTTTGAGGGTGGGTGGGGTAATGTTAGCTCCAGATGAGGAGATTGAGGTCCAGAGAGGGGACGTGTCCTTTCCTTGTCTGGGTCCCTCCTGGGAGAAGTGGGTTTGTCCTATGGGAGGCTGGGGGCAGGGTGTGGTGGTGTAGGGGTGTGTCTGGACAGAAAGTTAATGTAGCCCCCCTCCTTCCTCCTGAGAAGAAGCACTGCCTGTTGGAGCTGGGGATTCGGGGCGTGCGGGAGCTGGTCCTGAGTGAGATCTACCCCATAGTCATCCACGTGGAGGTGACGGAGAAGAATGTCCGAGAAGTCAGGTGAGGGGGTGGGGGACAGGTGGGGCACATGAGAAGATGGGGATGGGCAGGGCCCCCATCACTTCCTGTCTGTCTGTCCCCCTTCTGTCTGTGTATTTGTGTCTCTCTCTCTGCCATCTGTCCCTCCGTCTGTTCCCCCTTCCTGATCCCTGTGTCTCTGTCCATCCAGTCCTGTCCCTGACCCAGCTGACCTCTCCCCTCTGCCCTCTCTCCAGGGGCCTGCTGGGCCGGCCGGGCTGGCGGGACTCGGAGCTGCTCCGCCAGTGCCGTGGCTCCGAGCAGGTGCTATGGGGGCTGCCCTGCTCCTGGGCGCAGGTGCCCCCCAGCGCGTGGACGCACGCGGAGGAGTTGGCCAAGGTGGTGCGTGGCCGCATCCTGCAGGAGCAAGCGCGCCTCGTGTGGGCTGAGTGTAGTGGTGGTGCCACAGGGCGCGGCGGCAGCAGCGAGGCCTGAACGTCTGACCTCAGCGTCCCCGGCACTTTGGGAACTGTCGACGGGGACCTGGTGTCTGCGGTGGGACCTGGTCTCCCCATCTTGAGCCTTCCAGACTTTTGAACTCTGAGATGCCAGGACCCTGGGCTCTGGCCTCTCGCCCGGCCAAGCCTGCGGGAGCCCCGAGGGACAGACCCCTCACTCCCCTTCATGCTGCTCTTGGTCTTCCCCTGCACGCCCCCTCATGTCTCTGTGTTCCCACTGCCAAGTGTGACACGTGTCTGTCCTTCCTTAACCTCTTTGGTTCACTGAGTGCTCATGTGTCTCCCGTGTGCACACGTGTGCACACAGGCTCATGGGCCTTGCCTGGTGCTCCGTGGGTGCGTTCCCAGTCGTTCTGCTCAGTGGACACTGAGTCCGCCACCACGTGACACCCCCCCCACCCCCCCACCCCCGGTGAACACACTTTCTTGTGAGTGCCTCATGTATGGGCCCCAGATGCCCGCACATGCCCGTCACGTCCTCTTATACCTGTGTTCTGTGTATGTGTCCTGCCCCCTCCCCGTGACACCTGGGCACTAACACACGTGTGCTCCCGGTGAGCACATGCAGGACCATGTTCTCAAGGCGCCTGCCCTCCTCTGCCGACCCCTCTCGTGGGGCTGCCTGGGAGGAGCTGCTCCGTCACCAGAATGTACCGGAATGTAAGTAAGGCTCGTGGGTTAACGGGCCTTTACATTCAGAAGCTGCACAATATGGAATATTAAACACGTTTTGTCGTAGAAGCTGGTGGCCTCCTGCTTGCTGGCGTCCTGGCCTGGGGCCCCGTGTGTCCCCACCCCCGCTGCAGGCCACTGCTACTTCTCAGGTCCGTGGGGAGTGTTGGGTTTCCGTTCTGACTCATCCTGGAGCCGCCCGCCATCTGTGCTGGCATCACCTTACCTGCCCCGAGTGGCCGGAGGAGGAGGGCCTCACGGCTCAGCCCTGTCCTTGATCAATCATCGGTCATCCGTCAGAGGAGTGTCCCATGGAGTGAGGGGCACAAATTTAAGGACCAGCTGCAAGCCCAGGGGGCTAGCGGCAGTGCAGGGTCAGCTGCCCTGGAGAGAGGACAGTCACACCGGATGTGGGAAATCTGAGTGGGCTTCCTGGCGGTGCTGCCACTTGAACTTGAGCATTGAAGCATTTATTTGACCTACAGTTTGCAGGCAGCTGTCTTTGGTACAGGCCTCGGTGGTGACCTTGATGGAGAGGCCCCTGCTTTGGGGAATGGAAAGTACGCCAAGAGCATAGGAGTAGGTTGAACTTGGCCATTGGGAGAGAGAACATGGTAGGAATGAGGTTTGAAGGTGGTTAGTATTGAAGGCAGGATATCAGACCGAGGGGCTTGGCTGTGTCTGTGGGTTGTGGGAGCCTCCGAGGGCGTGAGCACAGGTGAGGAGGTATCTTCTGCTTCGGGAGTGACTTGGGGGCTTTGGCAAGTGAGGTGGTGGGGACTGAGTGAGGGACTGGGCAGCGGAGGGAGGGAGGGCCAGAAGAAGGGAGTTCTGCTAGACTCTGGGGATGAGCAGGGGCTGGGCACGGTGAGCTGTTGGGTCTGATGTCTGCTTGGCAACAACTTAACTCATTGCTGTCGAGTCGGAACTGACTCATGGCTGACTCTCAGTGGCTTTTCAGACACTGCAGATGTCGCAGGAGGGGAGTGCTCATTTTCTCCCAAGGAGCAGCCAGTGGTTTTGAACCGTGCACCTTTAGCTTGGCAGCTTAACTCTCTACCAGCTAGACCACCAGAGCTTCCTGGTGCATGGCAGGCAGGTGAACATGGGCCCCAAGATTTAGGAGTGCGGCTAGGAATTTGGGGTGGGTTGGGGGCATGATGGCTGGTGTGAGGCTGCAGACCTGTGCTCAGTGGGAGGAGAAAGAGACAAGGAAGACTGGAAGGGGAGGAGATTGCGGGAGCAGAGAGGATCAGGAGAGGAGGTGGCGAGGCGCCTGGGTGCAGGGATCAAGGCTGTTGCAGAGAGTGGAATGGGAGCCTGGTGCTGTGTGGGGATAGCAGGGAGTCAGAAGGGAGGTCCCAGAGGTGGACATGATCAGGTTGTGGGGATGTGGCCGGGGCACAAGCATTGGTCAGAAAACCCTCAGTCCCAGGACAGTGCGTGCCCTAACAGGTGCAGATTAGTCGTGGCAGGAACAGCGGCAGGAACAGTGTAGGGGCCTTGACCTGGAGCTGGAGGCCTCCTACCTCCTGCAGTGCAGAAGGACTGGGGGGTAGAAGGCAGTGATGGGTGGGTGCTGCTGAAGGAAGGCAGCCCCATACCCGGGAGTGAGACATACACTGCCCCCCCCTCCCCTTTGTCACTGCAGCCCTATCACAGCCAAGCCACCTGGGCCCTGGAAATTCTCCTTCGCTTTTTTGGGATATGCTGGTTTCCTTTATTTTAAAATGTCTTTCTGTTGAAACTATACACACAGCACAACATACCAGTCCAGCAGTTTCTATGTGTAAATTTGGTGACATTGATTACATTCTTTTTAAGTTGTGCATTTCCACTTTTCTAAATGATTTTCCCCCATTCATAGGAATCACTACTTCCTAAGGTTCCTGTCTAATATTTTGAGGTACTATTGTTAGTTTACATCCATATAGACAGATCTTAAAAGAGCATACTGTTCAAGGCTGATATTATTTATTAGATAAATACAGCTGTTGTCTGGTTTTCTGAAGACTTCAGAGGTGATTTTTGGCTTACAAATAATCACAGAACAATAATTTCAGGAGTTCACCGAGCAAATACAGATTTAAAAAAACATGGATCCTATGAGAATTTGAAATTCTGTTCTGTACTTCCACCCTTTTGACCAAGATTCTTCGATAGACTCTTAGAATGTTTGGTGAGGGTAGCCGGGCACCATCCACGTCTTCTGGTCTCATGAGAGTGGATGGTTGTTCATGGAGGCAGTTAGAGACACGTTCCGTTTCTCCTTTCTAATCTTGACTCTCCCTCCTCTGCACTTACTTCCTCATCAATAGAGATTAATCACACCTTGGCTGGGCAGCCTTAGCTCTCATCATCATAAAGTCACTCACTGTTTCCTCTGCTTGAGTTACTTTACGCACCTCAATCTTCATTGTCCTTTGAGGACTGGCAGAGACACCACCTCCAGGAAGCCTGCTTGCTCCTCTTGGCAAATAGAAATTCCCCTGGTCTGTGCCTTGTAAAATGCCCTGTGGCAGGATAGGGGGCCTGGATGGCTCTCTCGGTGGGTGACTGTGGGCTCCCTCAGCTTGAGGACTGGTCACACTTATTTGGAAAACAAGCCTCTCTCCTGTGTGTGTGCTCAGCCTGTGGACATGGGAGTTGGTGAACATGGTGTGGCCCAGTTGCCTTCACCCAGACCCCATGTTAAGTGTCCACCTTTCCGTGGTGCTGAGAAGCCCCAGGTTCACTGCCCTAAGTAGATTTCTACTCAGCAATCCCGTGACAATAGAATCGCTCCATAGGGTTTCAAGGATGTACATCTTTATGGAATTAGACGACCTCATCACTCTCCAGGGAACGCTGGTGACCTAGTGGTAAAGAGGCGCAGGGGAGCTCTGGTGGCCTAGTGGCAAGAAGCTGCACTGCAATCCCAGAGGCGCACGGTTCAAATCCACCAGATGCTCTGCCGGAGAAGGAGGAGCAATATCCTCCTGTACCGGTCAGATCTGGTTTGACGGTACACACACACAAAATAATAATAATTTAAAAAAAAGGCATAATGGCAGTTCAAAGGTACATGGTTCGAATCCCCCAGCTGCTCCATGAGCAAAAGGTGGGCAAGTCTACTCCTGTGTGATTACCACCTCTGAAAACCCACTGGTGGGTCAGCTGTGGGTCAGTAATCAGCAACATCTTTGTTCTGTGATGACGTTAGGAGGTTGTTGGATAGCAGATGAATGCTTTAACCACTGCAGACTGGTACCAGAGAAGCCTACTAACCCATGAGCCTCACCAAGTTATATTCTTGTCCCATCCAGACGATAGCTGTACTCAGAGGTGAAGTGACTTGATCAGAGCCACACAGCTGTGTGGCCCAAAGCCTGGGATTGGCCCTTGGTGATGTTCTGAGAGGCCAGTCTGGGAGGCGTGGCGTGTGCCTGGCACCTAGTAGGAGGCTGTTTGGATGGTGGTAACTTTCCTCATCCCACAGTTGTTGTTAGGTGCTGTCGAGTCGAGTATGACTCATAGCGACCCTATGAACAACAGATCTAAACCCTGTTCTATCCTGTGCCATCCTCACACTTCCTGACACGAGCCCATTGTGGCAATCACTTTCAATCTGCTTGGTTGAGGGTCTTTCTCTCTTTGACCTACCCTGCACCTTTTGAGCATCATGTCCCTCTCTGAAGGAATAGCCCCTCCTAGCAACATGCCCAAAGTACGTGAGGCGAAGCCTCATCGTTCTTGCCTCCAAAGACAACTCTGGCTGCACCCTCTCCAAGACATAATGTTTGTTCTCTTGACTCTCCATGAGATGTTCAGAGCTCTTCTCCAAAACCACAGTGCAAAAGCATCAATTGTTCTTGGTCATCCTTACTCACTGTCCAGCTCTCAGATGTGTAACAAGGGATTGGAAAGACAATGGCCTAAATCAGATGCACCTTAGTCCTCAAATGGGCATCATTGCTCCTCAGTAATTTGGAGAGTCTCCTAACTGCAGACTTTTCTTCATTTCCTGACTGCTGGTACCAAGGGTGTTGATTGTGGACCTATGTAAGATGAAGTTGTTGACCATTTCAGTCTTTTCTCCATCTGTCAAGATGCTACCTATGGGTCTAGTGGTAAGAATCTTTGTGTTTTTGACAATTGAGATTCACCAACCAAGTAATGGACACTGACGGAGCTGCTGTTGTGTGCCATGCACTGGGGAGCTGGTCAAGGGCGTAGCCTTGACCTTGCTGTGAGGAAGACTGTCAGAAAAATGTGCATCAGAGAAAGGCCCTCACACCCAAGGGACAGGGTTAGTAGACTGGGAAGAAGAGGAGAAGGGTTTACCATTTAAATAGAAGAGAGAAGGCTTCAGGGAGGAGGTGACATTTATATAAAGATTGAAAGTGGAGGAGAATGATGTGTGTTTTGGGGAGAGTGTGTCCCAGGTGGAAGGGGCAGCAAATGTCAAGGCCCTGCCTGGAGGATGGGAGCGCTGGGCTCCGGAGTAGAGAGGGTCGGCAAAGGTCAGTAGATGACGGGACTGTAGCATCAAGGGGCCAGTGTACAACTTTTGGTGTTTGAGGGAGGTGGGAGCCAGTGGAAGATCTGAGCAGAGGGGGGTGTGACTGGCTTTGTGGAAGATGAAGCAGAGAGGGTGTGTGGGCCCTGCCTCTTGCCCTCCCTGGGGAGAAAGGCTGTTATAGAGTATACCAAGGGAGGTAAGACAAAGATGGTCAGTCATAGCTGGACAAGTGACCTCGGCAGACCTCCTGTGATCCAGATGAGGAACTTGACTCCTGTTCCCAATCCCACTGTCACTGAGTTGCTAGTTCATCTCAACTGTGCCCTGTGTCCTCAGCTCCGGACTGGGAACAGTAATCCCCATGCTGTCAAGACCCAAGGACTGTAGAGGCTCCCAAGGTTGGAGAGGTATCAGGGAGGGCTTCCTGGAGGAGGTGGTGGTTGGTGATTGCTGTCCAGTTGAGCATGACTCATAGCGACTCTATGAACAAAAGACCTAATGCCTTTCCATAACTATGGTCATTTCTCCAAGTTCATAGAGTTTCCAGAGGCATGTGGTTTAGGAAGTGAATGCTACTCTTGCTTCCAAAGCTGTTTTACAACTGGGAGCTCCGCAAAACACTGTCCACATTGGGAAACCATTCTGGTATTTGATACCCCAATGGCACAAGGTTCAGCATCACAGCAAACCCAGGTTACCTCATATAGCACATTGACAAAGAGTGATGTGCAAAGTGGAAGAGTGTTCCTCCAGATATAACAGCACTGGTCTCATTTAGCAGTGGTTAAGTATCGTTGAGTTGAATACTACTGAGAGTAAGCTTTGCACAAAAGACCTGAAGTCTGTTCTATAGCTAACATCATTTCTGTATATTTATAGAGTTTAGAGAGTTTGTAGAGTTTCCAGAGGCATCCAGTTTAGGAAGTGGATGTCACTCCTGCTTCCCAGCATAAATCAATCTGGAAGCTCATGCAAACATGGCAGATAATGGGCAACCATTGTGGCATTTGACAAGACCATGGAACAGCGTGCAGCATCCAAGCACACCAAGTTGTTTAGTTCAGCACGTTAAAGTCCAAAGAGAATTCAGCCTGGTGGAGGGGACGTGGAAGAGCACGGTGGAGTATGTGGAAGAGCTTTCAGGAAGAGGCACATTGTGCACGAAAGCTGGGGGCTGGTGGGTAGAGAGGAGGCTACAACAGGGTAATGGATCCGCCCAAGAGGACAGGTCTCTGGGGAGTGGAAAGGCCAGAGGGCCCCTCCCTTCCGTCCCTGCTTTGAAGGTTTGGTTGTCACTCGGCCTCCACTCCGGCAGCTGGAAGAGCTGGGGCTTCCCCTGTGCAGCAGGAGCCTCTTTTGAGTCACCTCAGGCTCCCCAGGCAGCCCCGCCCCTCGGCCCCTCTCTGGGGACTGGGGTGGAGCCAGGCTGCCCCAGAGCCGGGGAGCTGGCTGAGGAGGCTGGGGAGCAGGTGGAGGCTGGCTGCTGTCTGGCTTAGCCTTGGAGTCTCGGCCCCCGGCTGCCTCCCCTGGCCTGTCCCCCCCCCCCCCCCCCGATGCTGGGCAGACTCTGGCCTCTGCCAGGCCCCTCTCCTGCTGGGCTCCACCTCCCTGTCCCTGTGGGATCTGGGGGCTGAGCTGCCAGGAGTCTGGGCACTGATGCAGCGCCGGCTCCTGAGGGTCCTGGCCGGAGCCCTCCTCACTCTCCTGTGCATGGGACTCCTGGCCCTGCAGCATCGCTCCAGCCTGTCCCCCCATGGGGTGTGGGTGACCCTCGAGGCCAGCCCGCCGAGCCCCGAGTCCCCTGAGCTGCAGATGCAGGACATCTTCATCGCTGTCAAGACCACCCGGGCTTTCCACCACACGCGCCTGGAGCTGCTGCTGGACACATGGGTCTCCAGGAGCCGGGAGCAGGTGACCAGTGGGCACAGGGGACTGGGGGTGGCCTTTGGCCTGAGGGGGTCAGAGAGGCCTTTCCCCTGGCCTAGGGTCCCTGGTGGCCTCGCTCACCTGTCCCACATGGGCCCACCTTTCCGTTCCTTCTCCATGTTCTGCCTCAAGAGGGGTCTGTGGCCTGGCGCCACAGCTCCTGGTTTGTACGCCAGGCTGGACCCCTACCCTTTACTCCTCCTGGGAGTTCTCTCTTCTCCCACTCCTGCCTGGCCTGGCCTGAGCCAGAGTCACTGACGGATCCTGACCCTGACCTCTTGACCACAGGCCTGTCCTGTGGGTGGTGTGGAGGGTGTGTGTGCTGGGATGGTGGGAACAGAGGTGTGGTGAAGGAGGCCTGGCTCCTGGAGTGTGTGTCATGGAGTATGCATGTGTGTCTGTAAATGAGTGTGTAAGAGTGTGTGAGTGTAGGGTGTGTGTGTGTGAGAGAGAAATGGGCATAAGAGAATGTGAGGGGGAGTGACTTGGTGTTTTGGCTGGGGTGTGAGGATGTGTGAAATGTGTGGGTGTGTGAGTGGCTCTGTGGGAATATAGGACTGTGTATGAGAGTGGATATGCGTCTGTCTGAGACGGTGAAGGTATGTGATAGTGTGTAGATGTGATTGTGGGTGTGAGAGTGAATAGGCGTGTGAGAATGTACGAATATGATTTGTGTGCATGAGTATGTGTGAGAAGACGTGAGAATGGTTGTGTGAATATACATGTGTGTGGAATGGGAGTTTGTACATGGCAGTGAATGTGTGTACAAGAACGTATGTGTTTACAGGTATGTGAAAGAGTGGATGAGTGTGTGTGTGTGTGTGTGTGTGTGTGTGTGTGTGAATCTGTGATGGGAATTTGACTGTGGAAGTGAGTATGTGTGGATGGGAATGTATGACCGTGACAGTGAGTGTGGATTATGGGTGTGTGCACAGGAGCCAGTGTGTGTGCTCACGTGTGTGGAGCCAGTATTCAGTGTTGGCTGTACTGTGACAAGAGGCATGTGGGCGACAGGGGTGTGTGGCTTACGTCTCGTGGAGGTGGCAGCTTTGACAAGCAGAGTCCCCTCCAGTCCTCCCCTTCCCAACACCCACGACCCTCTTTTGCAAAGTCAGTGATTTAGGGGCATGGGGGGCATCTCTCTCTCTCTCTCTCTCACACACACACACACACACGGTCCCCCACTCAGGACTCTAGTGGGAGGGAGTGACTGAGCCTTCAGTGGGTCAGGAGGCTCCCAGGAGGTGGTACGTAGACGTGATCAGGGCCACCTGGGTAAGGGGCACCCCGTGAACCTTAGATTAATCCTCTGCTGGAGCCCCCAGTGCCCCGGGCTCTTCCTTGGGGCCCCACAGAGCTTCTCAGATGGGGAGGCTCTGGTTCTGAGGGCGGAAGCTGTGGAGCCCGGCCCTCCCTGCAGACCTTCCTGTTTATGGTGCCGTGGCTGAGTGTACCCGGAGCGGGGCCTGTGTGGCCCGAGCTCTTTCCTGTCTAGTCTTGGGCTGGAAATGATGAGGAAACTGAGGCCAAGGAGGGGGACCTGTTCTCCAGAGTCACCGAGAAGGCCTGAGTGGACCTGACGACATCCTCCTAAGTTAGGGTCCTGGAGCCCAGAGCTGCCCACAGGACCCCACTACCTGGGTGGGTCTTTGGGCCCCTAGCTGGGCGAGCAGGACTAGGCCTGTGGCGGGAGGTGAACCCTGAGACCCTTCTGTGTCACTCCCCAGCCCCTGTCCATTCTGATCTGGTGAACGGGGCTCCCTGGCCCACCTGACAGGGTATGTGAACAGGGTGCAGGGTCTCAGGACTCCATGTAATCCCCATACCTCTGGCCCCCAGCCATCCAGATGCCAACTGGTCCGGCAGGGAGTACCTGCCCTCTACTCACATCTGTTGACAGTGCCATCGAGCAGATTCCGCCACAGATGACAGGGTCAGACGGCCCTAGAGGGTTTTCCAGGCCCGAATCCTTACCACAGCAGATAACCAGCCACGGTGTCAGACCATGTTGACGGGCTGCTTCTTTTTCACTGACCCTCTACCTTTCAAACATGATGTCCTCCTCCAGGGCTCCTGCCTGTTGTCAGCTGGTGCTCTCAAGTCAAGGACAGCTCACAGCAACCCTAAAAACGACGGACCTGACCGCTGTCCTGCGTCCTCCTCATCTCTGACGCACTTCACTGTGCCCAGCCATCTCTCTGGGGATCGTCCTCTCTTTCGCTGACCTTCCGTGCTAGGTGGCTGCACATCAGAGGCATTGCTTTTGTTAAAGCCCTGACGACCCCAAGTGTTTGGATTCAGCACAAGGGGAGAGTCTAGAAACCTTGGGTTTCGAGGCTCACTTGAAAAAAGAAGGGAGCTCTGGTGGCCTAGTGGTAAGAAGCTGCGCTGCAATCCCAAAGGCATGTGGTTCGAATCCACCAGCTGCTCTGTGGGAGAAGGATGGGCAGTCTCTTCCCATGAGATTCACTGACTCTGAAAACCCACCAGAGTCAGCTATGAGCTGGTTCCAACTTGATGGCACCTGACAACAACAAAGGAGATGCTCAGATGATGAAGGGGTTAGAGGTTGGGGACACCACCAGGGTCCCCCTTTGGCCTGTCTCTGTGCTCACCAGCCCAGCGGGCCCCCCTTTGGCCTGTCTCTCTCTGTGACTTCGGCCAGGGCTCTCCCCTTCGGTAGACAGGAATCCTCGGCCTCTCTCCGCTCTGCCCTGAGCAGCGGGCCTGAGCTGGTTAACCTTGTGCTGGCGGCCACCCCGGCTGGTTAAGGGCTCAGTGGCAGGTGGGCCTTTGTGACAGAAAGCTGGGGCTCGTGGAAGGCTTTTGTCCCAGGCTGAGGGGGTGGGCAGGGAGGCGGGTGGGAGGCGGGCCCCAAAGCTCCCCTTCTCTGCAGCAGATGGTCTCCAGCGACCCCCTCTCCCGATCCCAGCAGGCTGCCTGTCCCTTTGTTTTCTGGCTGTGAGAGCTTAACTGGTGTCAGGGGCCCTCCTTACACAGAACAAACCCAGCCCAGGCTCCCAGAACACTCTGTCACCTCCGCTGTACTCCCTCCTCTGCACCCTCTCAGTTTCCAGGGATGGAAGCCCCAGCTTCAGGTACCTCTAGTCCCAGGGCTCTGCTGAGGGGGTGCTGACCCCTTCCCTCACCCCTCTGTCTTCACAACTGTCCCCTTACAACACTCTTATTTATTCCATCAGTCAGTTTCCCGTCAGCAAAGACTTCTTGGTCCACGTGGTCCATGCCCCCAACTTGAGAGAGTTCCCTGTTTGGTGGCAAAGCTTCACCAGGGAGCTGAGCAAGGCAGATCTGACTTAAGTTTTAGGGGATCTCTTGGGAATTGTGTTGAAAATAGATTTGGGTGGGGGGCAGGACAGAAGCCGGGTTTGGAGATGCCAATGTTGGAATCGCTGGTTTATTGGTGGGTATAAAGTTAAGAGAATGTATGGCATCACTTGGCATCACCTTTTAGGTGCCAGGACAGGAGGCAAACTGGACCGAGGTGGCAGCTGTTCCTAGGAGGGGCCCTGAACGTAGTGTGAGGAGTTATCAGGGTAGGCTTCCTGGAGGAGGTGCTGTCTGAGCTGGGAGAGGATGGGGAAGGTAGTGTTCCAGGAAGAAGGTGCAACATGTGCAAAGGCTGGGCTTGGGGCAGAGCGTGTGGCATCTTTGAGGAACCGAAAGACCTTTCAGCTAAGAGAAGCCGTAGGAAGGGGCAGGACAGGACAGGAAGTGGTGAGCAGGGGCCACCACTGGAGGGTGGGCCTCACAGGCCACACTCAGGAGGCTGGCCTTTGTCCTAAAGGCAGCAGGTTGTGGCAGGGGGAGTAACTGGATTCCAAAGTTAACAGGGAGGGGCAGGTGTTATGTGCCTCTGGTCTTGGCAGGAGAGTGGATCTGAAGGACTGAGGCAGGGCTTGTTAAAGCCTAGTGAGAGAGAACAGCGGATTAGGAGAAGGCCTGTGGCCAGGCTGGCCTGCTTTGGGGTGTGTTGAGAACGTATGCAACATTTGTTTCCATTTGAGCATGTTGTCAGAAGGGGCCAGTACTTGGAGAAAGACATCATGCTGGGAGAGGTGGAGGGTCAAGGAAAGAGAATCCTCAACCAAATGGATTGACACAGTGACTGTAACAGTGGGCGTGAATGTATCAGAGAGACACCGGGCCGGGCCGGGCTGCTGTGGATTGTGCTTGATGCCATGACACCTAATAACAACAGCATATACACCAAGACACACACTAATAATTTGTTGTTGTTGTTGTTATGTGCCGTTGAGTGGCTTGACACTCATAGCGACCCTATGAACAACAGCCCTAAACTCTGCTCTGTCCTGTGCCAATCACACTGTCTCTGACACACCCATCCCGATTACCCCAGTCACTGAATCAATCCACCTCATAGAGGGCCTTCCCCTCCTGCGCTGTCCCTCCACCCTCCCAAGCATGATGTCCCTCTCCAAGGATCTGTCCCTCCTTAGAACATGTCCAAATTATGTCAGACGAAGCCCCAGAATCCTTGCCTCCAAGGAGCAGCCTTGTTTAACTCTCTCCGGGATGGATCTGTTTGTTTTCTTGGCAGTCCATGGTACATTCAGTACTCTTCTCCAGCTCCACAGCTCAAAGGCATCAATTTTCCTTCTATCCTCCCTAATCATTGTCCAACTCCCTGATGCATATAAAGTGATTGCAAAGACCATAGCCTGTATCAGATGCACCTTAGTCTCCAGAGTGACACCATTGTTCTTCAGTACCCTGGAGAGATCCCTAACAGCAGACTTTCCCGTCGCAATACATTTTTTGATTTCTTGGCTACTGGTGCCAAGAGTGTTGACCGTGGAGCCAAGCAGACTAAAGTTGTTAACAATCTCAATCTCTTCACCAACAATCCTGATGCTGCCAATTGGTTATTCTATACCAGAGAGGTGGTGGCCTGGCGGGTGGTAAGTGGCGCTGTTACCCAGAGACAGGTGGTTCAAATCGCCGCT